TTTTTTTTTTTTTTTTTTTTTTTTTTTTTTTTTTTTGGTACCAGGGATGGAACTCAGGACCTTGCGCTTGTGAGGTGGGTGGCAGCACCACTGAGCCAAACCCTTGGCCCAGGCCCATTAATATGAATAGAAAGTTTTTGTTTAGTGGTGTTAAGGATTGGACCTAGGAACTAGTGCACTATAGAATTGAAAATGTATTCATAGGAAATATTCCTTACTTTATACTTACTTCACTTAGAAAATATGTTTACCTTACAGAACATTTGGGAATTGGAACAAATTTTAGACCTACCTTTTGGGGCATTCTTGCATTTCTCTCTCGGTTATAATCAGTTTGTAGCTCTTTCACATGCTGGCTTTAGGTCTTTTTTCTTTTTTTGTTGTTGTTTTGTTTTGGTTTTGTTTTGTTTTGTTTTGTTTTTTTGAGACAGGGTCTCACTATGTAGTTGAAACTGACCTAGAACTCACTACGCAGCCCAGGCTGGTCTCAACTCACAGCGATCCTCCTGCCTCAGCCTCCTGAGTGCTGGGATTACAGGTGTGCACCACCACATCCGGCTTCACATGCTGGTTTTAGATTTAAATAGGAAGCACTTTCTAAATGCTTAGATTATGTGGTTAATTTAGAGTGATTACTTAGTATTTCTGTTGACCTTTTTATCATTTAGATTGTCCTAATGTCTTTTTCTTTTTTAATTGTTTAGCAGGCTTTATTCTGAACAAAGGGACTGTTGGATACACTTTTTATGGCTTTTAAGACATACTGCCAAAATTTTTTCTAAAAAAAAAATGCCAAACTTTTCCAATCATAGGAAATTATACATATTTAAGTTTTGATAATTTAGAAGACAATCAAAAACATACATTTCTCTTTTTTCTCATTGAGTTCATTGGTACATTTTAGGTATACAGTACAGTTACATTCATTGGGATCTCGTACCTTTACATGACAGGTCTTGGTTCTCATTTTTCCCCTTAACGTACATTTCTTTAGTTAGAGAAATTCAGTATATTTTCTTTTTATAAAGTAGGTTCCCAGTCTAGTATTAAATTTTTAAATACCAGGCTGGGTATTTAGCTAAGTGGTACCGTGCCTGCCTCAAGCCCAAGGTCCTGAGTTCGATCCCCAGTACTGCTCATTTCACCTTTCAGTTATTTTTCATATCTAAGTACTGTATTTTTATACAATCAGATCTAACTTTTTTGTGGTCCCCCCCCCCAGTTTTTGTTTTGTTTTTCTTCAGTACTGGGGTTCAAACTCAGGACCTTGGGCTTGCAAGACGGGTGTGGTACCACTGAGCTACATCCCTGGCTCTTTTTCTTTTCACTTCTAAACTTTGCCAAGTTGCTAGCCTCAGACTCCCCCGACTCAGGTCCCTGGCCCTTCGGGACCCACTTGGACAAGCACTTTGGGTGGGCGTCGAGAAGGAGGCGAGCTCCACTTGTCTGCTCATGACATGAGGGAAATGGCTGCCCTGTTTGGGGTGGTACCGGGCCCTGAGGAGGGCGTCTCTTTATGAACCAGGTTTGCCAGAAGCCCCATTAGTGGGATGTCTTCCCTGTGCAGTTCCTTCAGTGTCTCCCATTTCTTCAAGGACTGCTTGCCATAGTAAGTCCAACACCTGCTCTGGCCTAGCTTTTATTTTTTGGCTTCTTAAATGAGTATCATTTCCAGGTTTATTCTATCACAGACCCTGTGTTTTTGTTTTATTTTATTGAGCCTGTAGTTCAGGCTCGCCTTGTACTCAATATGTGGCCTAGGTTGGCCTTGAACTTGCAGTCATTTTCCTGCCTCAGCCTCCCGGGGGCTGGGATCGATTATAGGCATGCACCACCACGCCTGGCCATCACAGACCCTCCTCACTTCCTTTTTGTCCTGTGGACTGGCACGCTGTTAACATCTTCCTTTTTCTCCTTGCTTTTCTTTGCAGGAAGCACTCCCACCACCCCAGTCTCCTCCCAGTCCCTGCCAAAACTGGATAGCTCCAGCACAGCAGCCCCCGCCTGCCTTCCACCAGTGTCCCCTGCTGCCCCCGGCGCCGCCTTCGGTCTGCCCTCTGCTGGGGGGACCTCGGCCGTGTTCGCCTTTGGCTCCTCGTCCATGAAGCCCTCTGCGCCTGTCCCCGGGGAGCCCCCTCCGCATCCCAGCGGCTCTGATGGCCCCAAGGCAGCCCTGGGCTCCACCACCCCCACCTTCTCCTTGGGGGCCCCCTCCAAGACCTCCCTGGCCACTGCGCCTGCAGCTTCGCCCGTGGCCCCATCTGCTGCTTCCTTCTTTGGCTCCTCGGGTTTCAAGTCTGCCCTGGAGAGCACCCCGATGCCCAGCGCATCTGTGCCAAACGCAGGACTGAAGCCCGTCTTCCCGCCCTCGACTTCTGCCGTCAAGGCGAACCTGAGTGAAAAGTAAGTCGCCTGCGGTGCTCGCTGGGCTCCCCAAGGTGAGGTGGACGCCGGGCGTCAGTGTGGCTAGTCTGTGAGCGCACTTGCTGAACGGCTCTTCGGAGCTAGTGCTCGAGAGGGCTGGAGTTCAACCCACTCAGAGGCCTTTGTTCTTCTGACTAGATGTTTAGGTGTAAATCCTCTCCGTGCTTTTTCATACGACACGGGCAGGAGGTAGCCCTTGTTCAAAACTAGGAGGCACCCAGCCTGTGCCCTGAGGGCAGCTCCCTGCCTGTTGCCCACCCTCGGCCCTCGGCTGCTTTCCACGCAGCCACCACGATGAGCTGGGCCATTGTGGACATGTGAGCAGTGTTCTTGCCCGGCGGTCCCTTCACCGTGGTCCAGTCCTGCTGTGCGTGCTGCTGCCGGCCCAGGATCCGCATTACTGCTCCCTGCTAACCCGCAGCATCCTGAGGCCGGCTCCCCCGGCCCTGCAGCGTCACAGCTGCTGCCCGCCTGCCTCACCTCGCTCCTGTGGCACGGGCCACACTGTTGTTGCAAAGTCCACGTAGCTGCTCGGGCTGATCTCTCGTGGGCGCCCTGCACTTGGCTTGTTTGCAGGACTCTGCCCCTGAGGGCGCGGGCTGTGGCGGGAGCACCCTCCTCTTCTGGTCCCCTCCCCGCAGGAGGAGGCCGTCCCTGCGCCCTTTGCACCTCCCCTTGCTAGACAGGGAGCGAATCCCTCGTGTTGTGGTCAGTACTGACCTTTCCGTGTGAAGTGCCAAACTGGTACTTGAGCTGGATCATTTCTTCCCGAGTAAGCAGGTGTCAGTGTTTCGTAGCCTCTGACCTGCGTAAGCGGTAACTGAACACCTCCGTGCCCTGCGGGCAGCTAGGGCCTTGCGATGGGCGGCGGGCAGGGTCTTCAGCCGGGCAGGGTCTTCAGCCGCTCTGACACGAGGGTGCTGCCCTCGCAGGTTCACCACCGTGGCCACCTCTGCTCCTGTTCTCAGCTCTCCGAGCGCCCCAGCCATGCCCTTCTCGTCCACGGCCAAGCCGGCTTCTGGACCGCTCGGCCACACCACACCTCTCTCGGCAGCGCCCAGCTCCGTGTCTCTGAAGCCTGCGCTGGCTCCTGCACCTTCAGGTGTGGCTCACAGTTGGACGCGATTCCGAGCTCCACACTGGCACTCGGGCCCCTGAGCTGTGAGCGGGGTCCAGGGCTTCCCTCGACCCTTCCCAGGCTCCTGTGCAGCTGCCCGCCGTGAAGGATGGGGCGGAGCAGCTCCCTGGCGCTCACAGCAGGAGGCCCAGGCCCCTCGGGCCTCCGTCAGTGATTGTAGCCAAAAACAAGTGGAGGAAGTGTGTTTCAGAACTCCTGGGTGTGGGTACCTGCCTTTTCTTTCCTTTAAAAGCTACAGGGAGGTTTCAAAAATTTTGTAGTGAACACGTGCCTCTCACAGTGTCACAGTGTCAGCCCTGCTCACATCTGTCCCGTGTGCCGTCTGTCTTTCGTGTCAGTTCTTCAGGAGCATTTGAGGGTTAGCCGTAGGCATCACGAAGCACTTCACCCCATGCCCTTCCGTGTGTATCTCCTGTAACAAGGCTATACACAGGACGTTGTCAGGCCCAAGAGATCGAACAGTCTGGACTAGACTTCATATTCTCCTTTCCACAGTTGTCCCAATAATGTTTGCTTTGTTTTTAGATGCTCTCACTGTGTAGCCCCCGCTGGCCTCAAAGTCGTGGTCATCCTGCCTCGGCCTCCCGAGTGCTGGGACTGCAGCGTGCACAACACCCGGCCCTGATAATATTTTTTTATGACTTCCTTTCCTCCATCCAGCTAGGAGCCAATGAAAGGTCATATACTGCATTGTTTGTGTCCCTTCTGCCTCAGCCTCACGTAGGTTTTATAACTTTTTTGTCCCACTGCACTGAAATTTGCAGAGTTCAGGCCAGTGGTTCGGGGCCCGTCCCTTGACATGGATTTGATTGTCTCTACGCAGTGAGATTCAGGGTGGAGGCTTTGGGCAGGACTTGCACACAGGCACCACACGTCCTGTGACATTTTCTCTGTCCTGCGGAGATGACTTCAGCCTGCTCACGTGTCTCAGCTGTGATGTTGGTTATTTTCCCGGGTTTCAGCAGGGATACCCAGCTGGGCGTGGTGGGGCCATCCCTGGGATTTTGCAAGTTTGGGACCTTTGATTTCAGTGACTGGTGAGCAGACACCAAGCTGTGAAATTCTGGAGTTCGCAGCTCCTTCCCTGTTGCTCAGGAGCAAGGGCTGCCTTGCGAAGTTGGCCAGAGTCTTCGGAGCTCAGAACTTGACATCAGATTCCAAAAGACGCCCGTCTCTGTGCAGTGCTAAGCCTGTGCTGGTCTCCATAGTTAGGGAGGGAAAGCTTGAGCCATCTTTTGCCCTTGCTCAGATCTGGGTCCCCACACTGTCAGCCTTGTTTAGTCTGAGATTGAGGATCGTGGGTCGCCAGGTCTTAATCCCAGCTGCACACTGGAGTTACCAGGCACAGGGTTTCATGCATGCTAGGCAAGGGCTTTGCCCTTAAGCTACCTATCAGTCCTTTTTCTTTTTATTTATTTATTTGTTTATTTCTGCAGCACTAAGGATTGAACCCAGGGCCTTTGCACAGAGCTGCACACCCGCCCCCTGCAGCCCTTTCTTTTTTTTTTTTTTTTTTTTTTTT